AGTGCAATAATTATTATAGTGTTAAGTTATTTTATCAACAAGATCTTTAAATACATGTAATTAGCCTTTAAGGCCTGTTGTTGAGTTGTTACGGTCAAGTAATTTAAATAGATAAAAGAATTGCTGTGATGATTTGTTTCAATTGTCACAGAGTCCAATCTCAATCTTAAAACTATTTTACTGGGAGAGAGAGAGAGAGTTAGGTCAGTGGGGTTTTCAATACTGACACAATTGATTAAACTTTAATCTGTAATTATATATTGCTGGCGTGATAAAATAATGAGAAATATTTGTAAGTACATGTACATCTTTAACTGTAAGAACATTTTTGTATCATTGCAAGACAAATATGCTTAAAATGACTGTGACATTTTTATGACTGAAACAGTCAACACAACAAAAAACATATAGTCAGTGCCATAATACCATTATATATAAAACCTAGGTAAATAACAGTCAATGGAACATTTAAAAATGCTTAAAACAGATAAACATGATTGTGTGAATTCATCTCTTTAAATATTTTTAATAATAACATGTGTACCTGGAATATTATACGTAATTGTTTCAAGTACATGTATATCAATACTATATGAATATATATATTTTTGTGCCCCCATTATGGGGGGGGGGGGGGCATTTAGATTTACCCTTGTCCGTTCGTCCGTCCAACTTTCCGGGCTATAATTTAAGAGAAGTAGGGGCCATCTAACTGTAAACAGAACAAAAGAGAACAATTAGAGTTCATTCCGTAACAAAACAATAAGGGGCCATTGCCCTCTATTAAACAAAAAAAAAAATAACAAAAGAAATAGCCCTTTAGTCCATTTAAGTGGCCCATCCGTCCGTCCATTCTCTTTTTGTGTCACACGTAGCTAAAAAAGTGATTGACCTAGAGTCATGAAACCTTACAGGAATGTTGATCAGCATGTGTAGTTGTGCACCTGGGTATTTTTGTGTGGATATATTTAGTATTTTTAGAGTTATTGCCCTTGACTTAGTAAAACTTCCAAATTTTCAACTTGTGTCACACGTAACTCAAAAACTATTTGACCTACAGTCATGAAACCTTACTGGAATGTTGATTAGCATGAGTAGTTGTGACCTGGGTATTTTTGTGTGGATATATTTAGTTTTTTTAGAGTAATTGCCCTTGAATTATTAAAAATTTCCAATTTCAACTTGTGTCGCACGTAACTAAAAAAGTATTTGACCTAGCGTCATGAAACCTTACAAGAATGTTGCTCAGCATGTGTAGCTGTGCACCTGAGTATTTTTGAATGGATATATTTAGTATTTTTAGAGTTATTGCCCTTGACTTAGTAAAAATTTACAATATTCAACTTGTGTCGCATGTAACTCATTAGGTATTTGACCTGAAAGTTTACAAGAATGTTGCATAAGCATGTGTACTTATGCACCCTGGGGTTTTCTTGTGGATTTATTCAGTAATTGTAGTATTTGCCCTTTACTTAATAAAAGATCTTCTCTGTTGGTCTTTAAGGTGTTTTATAAAATACAACAACTGCTTTAACTTACAGCCTTTTGAATTCAAATTCAAATATTTCAGACAATTAGATACTAAAGTTTTTCCACTGTTACGATTCTTAATAGAAGTCCCCTTGTTCAAATGCAACAGTCTTGCAGAAAGAACTTGGCTTGCATCCCTTGAACATCATGGACTAGACAGTGTAGGCTTATGATGTTTAATATGGTATAAAGGTAATACAATTAAATTTAACGAAATTGTTGTATTGATATACCTTTTTTCAAACATTTTAAACATAATATAGATCTATAAAAAAAAGAAGCAAATACAAAATTTTAGTAAATGACCTGTAAATATGTTTAAATAAAATTTAATAGTCATACAAAGTAATTGATACCATGGCAATATATGACATAAGGTTACAATTCTTGATAGAAAAACAAGTGTTTCAGTTCTTGATAGCCTGAAAACAATGTTACAGGAAACAAGGGCCACAGTTCTTGATTGCTTGAAAACAAGGGTCACAGTACTTAATTGATAGTTTGAAAACAAGGGCAACAGTTCTTGAAATAGTTTGAAAACAAGGGCCACATGTAGTTCTTGATAGTTTGAAAACAAGGGCCACATGTAGTTCTTGATAGTTTGAAAACAAGGGCCACATGTAGTTCTTGATAGTTTGAAAACAAGGGCCACATGTAGTTCTTGATAGCTTGAAAACAAGGGCCACAGTTCTTGATAGCTTGAAAACAAGGGCCACAGTTCTTGAAATAGTTTGAAAACAATGGCCACAGTTCTTGATAGCTTGAAAAACAAGGGCCACAGTTCTTGATAGCTTGAAAACAAGGGCCACAGTTCTTGATAGCTTGAAAACAAGGGCCACCAGTTCTTGATAGCTTGAAAACAAGGGCCACAGTTCTTGATAGCTTGAAAACAAGGGCCACAGTTCTTGAAATAGTTTGAAAACAATGGCCACATGTATTCTTGATTGCTTGAAAACAGGGGCCACAGTTCTTGACAGTTTGAAAACATTGAGGGCCACAGTTCTTGATAGTAAAACAAGGACAATGCAAGAATGTTAGAGGTTTAATCACTGCAAAAAATTGGATGCAAATCTATGGCATTGATACGGATCTTTAAATCTGTGAAGAAATGTTTTATCCTGAATATAAAACAGGAAGAAATATCATAGTAATTCTAAGTGTTTTTTTTTCCTCAATATTCCTTGACATAAATCCAGCTGAAATGGTATTTATTCTAAATGCCCGCTTACATGTTTTATAAGATAACTCTTTGCTCGGAATGTACGGTCACATAAATCACATTTAAATTTGCCTCCCTTTGCTGCGTGTACATGTGTTTTTAAATGCCTTGTAAGATTAGAGCTGATACTAAATGAGTAGTCACAAATATTACATTTATATGGCTTTTCTCCTGTATGGATTCTCATGTGCCTTACAAGATTTGGTTCAAAACGAAATGATGCATCACAAATATTACATTTAAACGGCATTTCTCCTGTATGAATTATTTTATGTTTAGTAAGATAGCCCTTGTCTCTAAACACACTATCACATATACTACATTTAAATTGTTTTTCTCCAGTATGTATCCTCTTATGTCTTTTAAGATTAGTTCTATGACTGAATGACTTGTCACAAACATCACATTTAAAAGGCTTCTCTCCAGTATGTGTTCTTTTATGATCTGTAAGATATTTATTAAGACTGAATGAACTGCCACAAAAATTGCATCTGAATGGTTTATTACCTGTGTGTACACTCATATGTACCTGAAGATCATTCTTTTCTCTAAATGCATGATCACAAATACCACATTTAAATGTTTTTACATCTGTATGTGCTGTCTGATGTCTTGTAAGATATTGTTTGGAAACAAATGACATTTCACATACATCACATTTAAAAAGTTTTTCTCCTACATGTACTTCTGTCATATGCCTGCGCAGAGTCTTGAGGGAAATGTTACAAACATCACATAAGAATGATTTTTCTTCTGTATGTACTGTCATATGTGACTTAAGGTCACTTTTTTCTCTGAATGTGTTATCACATACATCACACTTAAATGTTTTTTTCCCAATATGTTTTCGTTGATGTCTTTTAAGATTAGTATTCAAGGAAAATGACATGTCACAAACGGCACATTTGTAAGGTTTTTCTCCAGTATGAATCCTTATATGTGTCTTAAGGTCACCACTAAGCCTGAATGTGCTATCACATGCATTGCACTTGAATGGTTTCTCCCCTGTATGTAATCTCTCATGTCTTTCTAGTTCACATTGATAATTAAAGGAATTGTCGCAATTATCACATTTAAATGGTTTATCTCCAGTATGTATTCTCATATGTATCTTAAGATTGTATATACGACTGAATGTTTTATCACATATATCACATTTAGACATGTTTCGTTCTAATTCCTCTAACTGCTTATTTTAATATTCAGTTAATTTCCTATGCATTCATCTTGATGGTGAATTTCAAATTTCCTAAAGTTGAACATCCACACTGAAAATAAATAGATTGTTTAGAAAAGAAGAGATCGAGGAAAAAAACAAAAAAGCATATATATTTAATGTATGCAAATTACAAGTTTAAAATAACGAGGAATATTCGGTATCTCCTGTCCGCCACCAACGGTGCACTAGTGGCATTGATTTGACTTAAACTATAAATAACAAGGCCACAAGCACAGGTCTTTTCCCGCCACTGATATGACTTTTGTATAACAAAGTTAGATACAAACCAGTGCATTTTATAAATGATAAAAGTGGCCGTTTTAGCTATATGATAATGCATTCAAAACACGATTAGGCATATTCTATTAAATTAACAAAAAATAGTATCATGATAATAAACTTACCTTTTAAAAATGTAAACCTCAAGTAGATCTAACACGATGAAAGTATATAAAAGCGAACACACACTGTCCTAAAAAGATAATAAATTTTCATGATTGATTGCACAGGATATATAAATTTAACTCCATTCAACCCATTGGGTGTTCATCTTTCAAAGTGAGGTTACTGTTGTATGACGGACAGAGCATCATGATCAAGAAAGTATGTACCATAAAACACTGCGTTAAATTTTGTTTTCATTTATCCACGGTACTGTACAGGATCATAATGGACATAAGTCGTGCAAATTTTGTATTACAAGTCTGATAATAAGATATTTTAAATTGACTACTCCAATAATATTGAAATATCCCGATAGTGAATAAGTTACTGTAAAGTTGTCGCCCTTTATTATATATTCGCCATGATCTAGAAAATAGAACTGTACACAGTATGCAATTAATTATTAGAAAGAAACAGACTTGTTTGGGTTTTAAAACAATGGAGACAGGTATAACATTAAATAGAGTGATTGTTAACTATGCTTATTTACTCACGACTTTACTGGCATGCGAGCAGTGCTTGCTACTAAAAATTAAAATCGTAAAACTTTACCTGTTTACTAAAATAAACTGTAAAAAATTATTTTGCCTTTAACAGTTAATAAACATACAACCACACTGACACTTAGATTTTGTTTCGTTCATACTTACATTTGCTTGAATTAATATCAATTTTTTAAGATGAAGCGTTTAAACGTGAAAATATGGGTACTGCTTCTGTAGTAGAACTGCTCACATGCCTGTTATTAAAGTCATGATTGACTATATTATACAGTGTGTTTTCTAGAAATTCAATAATAGGGGTCAATTATTCCTGATAGAAATACTGAGGAAGAGGATTGGGGGGGGGGGGGGTTGGCAATTCAAGAGCAAGGGGTGCCAATATAAAGTGTAATTGCAGAAAATTTAATGTTGTTTATATTTAACCAGGATTTGTATGTAAGAAAATGAAAGGTTAAGGTAGATTTTTTTTTATTTTTTTTTTTGGGCGTCGGCATATGATCTATACTGTCTTGGTGTAAGATAAAACACAAACCAAATGAAATTATAACTAACATTATACAATCTCTAATTGAATACATTACCTTTCACATTTAAATACATGCATATACATTTAATGCATTTTAAAAGTTTAATGATGATGTTTTATTTCTATTTTCAGTCAGAGAACATTAATGAACACAGTGACGTTATCGTAAAGAACTCTGATTTGGATTTCAAGTGTTGTTATCAACTGTACATGGTATTAAGGTTTCTTAGTTGATGATTTTGTTAATGATAAAAATAAATTATATTGTGTATTTTTATGTGACAGTCATGCTAAAAATAGATAGTTTTAAATTACCAATATTTTGTCTTATTAGTTGATATAATGATCATATAGATTAGACAAAATTAAAGTGTGTTATTACTTAATTTTGTGGCAACGGAACCCATTCTAAGCAGACTGTTAATTTTGTTTCAGGTTTCCTAGGAATATTACAATCACAAAAGATCAGTCTGGAAAAAGGAATATAAAACTACAATGTACTTACAGATTACTCAAATAGAAACAGATTGTTGGCGTCCACGCCGAAGCAGTACGCCCTTATGGAATTTGAAATCAGATTTTGTGAAAGGGCTATTGCAACTTCTCCAGCCTTTTCGTCAACCATAATAGCCGAACATTCTGATTGGTATGAGTGTTTGATTATCAAAAATATGTAAAATGAATAGCGAACTGGAAAATTTCGCAATGTAAACATATTCAAATGAAATGATCTTATGATACTTTGGAAGACATTTGAAAGTTCCCACTAGCGAAGGAAGAAATTCATTTGTGTTTCTATGTATAATGGATTATTTGCTCAAGAAAACATATCATGGAAATGCACAGTCGTGGAAAGAATTTTGAGTGCAGTATCTGCAAAAAAAGCATTTTTTCAAGAGTTCTATGAAAAGGCACTTGCATGTTCATGAGAAGACTTTGTAAATGTGATGTATGTGAGAAAGCATTTATTCAAAGAATAATCTAGATGTTCATATGGTGAAATTCATTATAAGGAAAAGTGATCCATAAATGTGAATATTGTTAAAAAGGTAATATGATTAAAGGGTAGTTTAAAAAGACATCATGATTAGTGCATACAGACCCTGAGAGGAAAATTTAAATGTTGACATTTGTGACGCAAGAACTATGTTTCCAAGCATGGTTTGAAATACACATATGTTGATACATACAGGGTGAGAAAAACTATATCTGTAGTGTGTGTGAAAGGTCGTTTTCTTTAAAAATGCCAGTTTGGTAGGACATATGAGAATACACACTGGTGAGAAAAGATTTTTTTTGTAGTGAATGTGATCAAGCGTTTCTTTATAAGATTTCTTTGGGGTTGCGACATATATAAAACACACACACACTGATGAAATGAAATGTATAGCAAATTTTGATGTGATTAATGTTCATAGATTATTAATAAACTATAGAAAATAAATTATGTGTACATAAAAAATGTGATGTGATTAATGTCTTCATTATAGTAGAAATAAAATTTCGGAAATAAATGATTGTTGCATTTGTAATAATTGTTATTAATTGATAGAATACAAGATAATATGATAAATGTTGGATGTGCGGTTGCGTAAAAGGTTTACTGTCAACACAGTTCAATAAGTAACATTACTGTACCTATATATGCACGTCAAAAACATGCAAAGTAATTCCTGGGGTCATTGACAACTTGATTGCACGTCTTGAATGCAACATCCGTTCAGATGTACTATACTATATTGAATCATGCAGTCCATACTGCTCCTAATCTGCCCTCCTAACCTAGAACCAATTACAGCTAGAAGGGTGTACTAGATCAAATTGTGACCAGCGGTAAAAAAGAGTGGCACATTATGTTTATTTTTTTTAGTGAATATGATAAAGCCGTTTCTTTATAAGATTTCGGTTTTATGCGACATATATAAAAACACAACACACACTGAGAAATGAATTTATAGCAAATTTGATGTGATTAATGTTCATAGATTATTAATAAACTTTAGAAAATAAATTATTGTACATAAAAAATGTGATGTGATTAATGTTCATAAATTAGAAATAAAATTTCGGAAATAAATGATTGTTGCATTTGTAATAATTGTTATTAATTGATAAATACAAGAAATATGATAAATGTTGTATGTGTGAAAGGTTTTGTTTCAATAAGTCTTATGCCACAAAAACATGCAAAATGGGTGATATTGAAATGCAGTTTTACATACAGTTGAGGTCACACTAAATGCCCTAAGCTTGTACCACACATTACAGCTAGAAGTGTACTAGACAAAATTGTGACCAGGTTAGAGTGCGCATTATTATCCCCCGCCGAAAAGCCGGCGGGGGATATAGAAATAGTCTCTGTCTGTCCGACCTTCCGTCCATCCAACATTTTTGTCCGGCGCATATCTCTAAAAGTATTTGAGTTATCAACTTGAAACTTCATAGGTGGATAGACCTTATTGAGGAGGAGTGCAGTGCACAAGAATGATAACTCTACCTTGCATGATTTTTGAGTTATTGCCCTTTGTTATTTTTCAAAATTGATTTTTGTCCAGAGCATAACTCCAAAAGCCTATGAGATATCAACATGAAACTTCATAGGTGCATAGATCTCACTCAGGAGGTGTGCAGTGCACAAGAATGATAACTTACCTTTCATAATTTTTGAGTTATTGCCTTTTGTTATTTTTCATACTTAATTTTTCACCTGAGTGGAGCATAACTCAAAAAGTGTTTGAGATATCAACATGAAATGTCATAGGTGGATAGATCTTATTGAGGAGGAATGTTGTGCGCAAGAATGATAACTCTTCCCTATACAATTTTTATATGCCCGAAAGGGCATATTATGTTATACCCCCTGGCGTCCGTCTGTCTGTCTGTCCGTCCGTCCGTCCGTCCGTCCGTCCGTCCGTTAGCAATTTGGTTTCCGGAGCATAACTGAAGTTCCATTTGGCCCACAATGTTAAAACTTCATAGGATGATTGTCCATATTGGGGAGAAGATCCCT